AAAAGCGATTCAAGAAATAAGTCCACACTTTTCATTTATGGTGACCTTGCTTGCTATGCGTTCCACCCTGATGCAGAAACAGACTTACCCGAGCCTGCGGTGAATTCATCAAACAGGTAAAGAAAATGTTGCTGGATTAACCCGAACCAGTTATTCCAGAAACTCAAGAAGATCCAGAAACAAAACTTACGAAAACAAAGGGTGTTACGTTCAACTGCTCGGATGGTCGCGAGTTGATGTGTATGCTGAGCTTGGTGCAATTCTTCCATTAAGCGCGATCCTTCCCCCTCGCGAGATCCGTATTCCTGTAATCTTTTGATCGTTTGTGGGAGAAACCGCGTGGTGCGGTCTACGAAGTATGACAGAGATCATATAAGCCTATTTGACTGATCGCACGTTTTGCAAATTTGTCAAGTTGCAAGCCCTCGTTACAGGCAATTTGCACGATTTTTCCTAAATCTGTCACCTGTGGCTTCAGTCGCGTCAGATGCATGCTGCAGACGTCCGACACAAAAATCACCTAAATCCTCCTGTCACACTGCACATCTCGCTCAATTGGGCTTGGGGTTCGACAACCGCAAAAAATTGATTGAAGTAATTCTGTTCCGATCCTGGTTCGGTGTAAAGAGCAATGTGTACAGGTATCGTTAGTTGAAGCTGAGGTGAGACTGTGGCGGGTATCTGTATCCAAAACTTATGCAAGCTTATGCACATCCGTTTATCGCTGTGGTTCAAGGACGGGTTGTAAAATGGACACGATTTACCTGCAGTGATGTATATATACATAATAAACATTGTGGGGGACAGCACGAGTTACACCCTTTACAGGACAACAACATTAAAATGGCGTAACTGCTTTGCGGGATCGTTAGAAAAGATCGAATTGACACAATCCCGCCTGCTGGCAAACTGCCTCCGTACCCTTATTATAGCCTGAACAGGCCAGGATGTCACCCGCAGTCATTAACGCTCACATCAAACTGGCGTCCAGCAGCGAGCCAGACGACGAGCGTTCTTGCCAGAACCTCGTCACCTGGGCACGCTCGCCCCTTCCAGGCGCTCGTTACCTGGTTACCCTTCCAGACTATCGTCACCTGGGCACGCTCGCCCCTTCCAGGCGCTCGTTACCTGGTTACCCTTCCAGACTATCGTCACCTGGGCACGCTCGCCCCTTCCAGGCCCTCGTTACCCCGGCACGCTCGGTCACGTGGCCCGGATGCCAGCGTGCATTGGGGCAATTACGGTCATTGACACAGGGCAATGGCTGGTGACGTCACCCCACCGGTGGCGATGGTCAGCTGAGTGACGTCACCCTGCCGGTGTGGTCAGGCGAGAGCAGAAGCCCTGCTGTGGCGCTTCCGAGCCGGTGGACGCCATCGTTCTTTAGTTCGCTGCCAGTGCGGGGCAGCCTCTGATTGGTCGACTGACTTATGCAGCCTCATAGTGGCTGGTCGCGAGAACGTGGAAGGCGTGTCACGTGTATGGGCTTAAGACTGATTGTTGGTATTATATGGTTCGGTTCAGTGGAGCAATCACGACTTACCAGTGCAGCGGTGCCAGAGCATGATGGTAAGATTAGTGTCGCTGTTTATGGCTAGACATCTTTTTCCTCAGCCAGACTACTTCCTATTCGTGTTTGTCGTCTTTTTGTCCTGCTTATGCCTGTTGTGGTGCAAAATGGATCGCAATCACTGAAAACTGTCACACGTTCTAAGCTACGAGCGCGACCTGACCTGCGTGCACTCCTGCACGTCCACTCCATTTGGTTCCTGCACGGCTTACACGACCATGTCGTGCAAAGAAGTCCACACATCGGCCTTTCCACGGGATTCGAACAAATATAAATATCGTGTGGGATCTTCTCTTAGTGTCTAGATGCCCTTGGGAGCCGCAAGCAGCCCCGCCTCCTCCCTGGGAATGGTAAGTTTACGCTATAATATGCAGTAGGCTCCAAGTGCGAGCTCACCTACCAAGCGGCTCAACTACCATACCATCTGTGTCTGATATTTCTCACGTGATGTCGGTAGCGTCCCCGAGCTTGCCTCTGCTGTAACCTAAAAGACATGAAAAATGCATGATGCCGCACATGTAGCACACCTGAATGCAAACCCTCGCGTGCGGGCTTCGAGGAGGCGGCAGCGCGCGTGAAGGCGCACCCCGGCGCCGACAATCGCGCCGGTTTTGTCACGTATGATAATGGAGGCTGAACGAGAGCCAGAAGTCGCCACGCCATTGCAACGTAGATTTGCCGACAAGACGCCGCAAAGGGCACCGGGCTGACGTCCGGACACCCGTCGAACGTGGTCTCACCAAACATCCGACTGAGACTATCGCCGTCCCACAGAGCGGCGGTTAAACTGGCGATTTGAACGGAACACACGGGCCGTGTGTTCATCCGGCTTATCGTCTCACGTAACATCCGTCAGGTCAAAAAAGTCTGACACGGCCGCCGGTACACCGGCTTAAACTGCGCTCTTTGTGTGAAGCGACGAGCTTCAATTGCTGCTCCATGCTAATACACAGCTCTTAAATGCATGCGTCCCCAGCCATTAGCGTGTCCGAGCTAATACAATTAAACGGGGTCCCAGGCCTGTTATTAGGGCCTGTGCTGCGTCTGCACTGCGGCGGCGGCCCCAGCGCGCCGGCACGACCCTGCTCCATTCTGCAGAGGCGCGCTGGCGGCGCGGCCGGCCGGCCTTATTGTTATTTACTGCGCCGGCGCCGGCACGACCGCGGCCCGGGCCCGCCTCATAGCGCGTGGACGCGCGATCGCTGCGGCGGCGGCGTCCGGCCCGCGGCCGTGCCGGTTTTATGAGCGGTGCCCTCGACCCGGAGGTGTACCGCGCCGGCCAGCGCGGAGCGGAGACCTAGCATGCTCATATGCTAATTCGCCGACCGGCGAGCACAGATGGCATGGGCCACTAATGCCGCTTGATGATAGAATAAAATGGCTGCGATAAATCATGGTGACCCAGTATGTTACCCGACCGGACAAGCGCGGTGAACAAAGGGTGTGCCGGCCGCGCGGCTGGAGGCGAGTGCGAGAGAGGTCGGGGCAGGTCGCTGGCCCAGGCCCCGGCAGCCGGCGTCGCTGCAGCAGGCGGACGTTCGTCTCGCGCACTTACCGACGACTGAATGCACATCCCGTTCTCGATTAATCCGGATATATACTCCATGTTTCGGTAGGGCACTGTCCCGTTGAAGCACATGTTGATGCTCTCGTCGTGCGCCTTGTCCACTTGACGGAGAGGGAACACACAGACGGCCGACTTGTTCTGGTACACCATCGTGTTGCCGTCACTGGGCGAGAACACTGCCACCAGCACCGGGTCGCCGGTCTTAACCCCGGCCGCGGCGGCCAGGTCGGCGCCGGCCGAGGTCAAACGGGCCGACCGCACAAGGTTGTACGCGCCGCACTCCACTGTCACCTCCGTGTAGCTGTTGTAGTTGGGGTCCGTCACACAGACGCGCGCTATCCGCGAAATGTACCCCACCTCGTCCTGGCCGGGCAGGTGCGACTTCTTCTGCACCGCCACGAAGTACACGTGGTCCCCGGCCGCGAAGCCGGCCTTGTACTGCACTAGAAAATGATCGCGGTACTTGACATCGATCCGCAGCAGCGACTGCTGTGAGAACGAGATCTCGGCGTACTGCAGGTCATCTAGCCGCCTCGTGGCCACGGCCGGCACGTCGTGGCGGTACGGCCCGGCGTCCGTGAACGTGGCAGCCACATACAGCGCGAGCGGCTCGCCCTGCCAGCGGTGATAGCGCTCGGGCGCCACCAGGCCGACCGTCGTGGCGTCCGGCTGGTTGGCCGCCACGTTCACGGCCAGGAACTGGGCGCGGCCGGGCTCGTCCAGCGGCCGCAGCCAGCAGGCGCCCTGCCGCACCGAGTCGCAGCTGAGCAGCTGCCGGCTCTCGTCCAGCACCAGCAGCAGCTGGCTGAAGCTGTCGGTGGGCGCCGTGGCGGCGCCGGCCGGGCAGCCGGCCGCGGGACATGTGACGTTGTCCTGCACAGGCCCCGTCTCCAGCCGTGAGAGCTGCGTCAGCGCCGAGTCCAGCCGCCACAGCCGGTTCACGCCAGCCACGAAGAGGCGGCCGGAGGCGGCGTGCTGCGCCAGGTGCTGCAGCGCCGACGTCTCGCCGCTCAGGTCGGCGCTCGCCGCCACGGCGTTCGCCTCACGTGACGCGCGCGCACATGTGCAGATACATAATGACGTCCATAGTGCCAGGATCATGCCGCGGTGGCGTCGGCAGGACCTGTGGACAGCGAGCGGCACACGTCAGCGACAGCGGCACGCGGGCCGGCCGCATCACGCTCCGCCAAGCACATTGTCCCTCGCCGCGGATGCTAAGTGAATTAATGAAGCCGCCGCGACGTGGCCGCTCCCCATCGGCCTAACGAGGCGGACGGGCGCGCGATTGCATCTGCGGGGACGCCGGGTAAGATGCACGCGCGGCAGGCCGCGATTGATTGCGGCAACGATCCGTCACGTGGCGCAGATGCGGCATCTCGACGGCTGAAGTGCAGCGTCTCTGCAGGTGGGACGCACTCGGCACCGGCGCCACCCGGCTCGGCTTCACCACCGAGCTTCTGAGGCACGCCGCGGGCCAATCGGCAACATATCTGACCACAGGATCACACACCGCAGATGGATCGCCAACACCGCAGATGGATCACCGGTCAGCAGATGGATCACCGGCGTGACATCGCGCCGGTGGATCGCCCTAACATCTCGCGCTCGCGTCCGCTCGTCAGCACCATCGCCCTGCCCGCAGCGGCGCGGCCAACGGCTGCACGGACCGGCCCCTCGCCGGCCGCGGCCCGCGCGCTGCACAGACAACCGCATTAGCCGGCGAGCGAGGTGCACCGGCTCATGCACCCGGCCTCGCCTCAGCGCACGGCGGGCCCGCGGCCCGCAGCCGCCGCCGGCGGCCGACCCCGCTCCCCGGCGCCGCATCGCGACCTCACCTGTTCCCTCCTTCATCGCCGGTGCGCTGGTGACGACGCGCCGACACGGTGCGCGTGGCGGCGGCGGCGGCGGCGGCGGTGGCGGCTGGCGGCGGCGGTGGCGGGCGGCGGGCGGCGGCGGGCGGCCGGACGCGACCCGGCTCAGTGCGGAGACTCGACTGAGGCGCCGTCCGCCCGCCCTACGTGACCGGTGTGCCAAGTCCCGCCCCGCCGGCCGGCGCCCCGCCGGCCGGCCGGCCGCCGCGGCGGCTGACGTGCTTTGATTAACAGATATAAATGGCTGAAATTGCCGCGGACCGTACGACGGGGCTTCGGGTTAAGTATGGGGATGCGCCGCATCGCCGTTGTGTACAGACGAGGCACCCATGGCGTGCAGGAAATGACTTCATACTCAAACAGGGATGGTGGTCTTTCTGTTCAAAAGACGTCCGGAAATTTCAAACCTGGTGGGACAAGACTGAGCAAAGACCGTGCAACGTGGGCAAATTATGACTGGCGTTTTATGATCACTGGACCGGCTGGCTTGAGTGGATGGGAATTCCGGCCATTGGGTGGTGCCGCGGGAGTATCATTCCATTTGGGTGTCATTTTGATTTAACGGGCTACAGTAACTCAAACAAAACAGGACCCATTTAGTTATTTAAGTAACATACAACATAATAGCCTCCATAAATTTGCGTTACAACTCTCCCATGCTTCGTACCACCTAATTCTCTCACAGAGTAAATAGATTCTTTTTGCCCCTGATACTGAAGAGCCGCACTTCGTGACTGTAACTTTGTCAAGAACATGCCTCCTCGTGGCAAAAGTCGCGCGGGCCGAGCGGGCAGGAACAAGGAGGAGAATGCCAGTCCTGATGTCGAGGGCGTGGGCTCGACCAAGGAGCCGGAGCGGGCGTTCGCCACCGACCTCACCATGTCCGACTGGCGCATCCTGGTCGAGGAGGAAGAGGACGAACTCTTCATTGCCGGCATCGTGGACGAGTGGGTGGAGCACGTGCTGGACGTGTGGTACGAGCGCTACCTGGACCGCGCCAGCGTGCCGTACGTTTGGGAGTGGTACAAGTCGAACGTACTGGAGCTCGTGCGGTTGGACCATCTACGCCCGGAGCCGGGCGAGGATCCCACCACTGACCCATCCTGGGTGCCCGACCCGGAGCCCGCGGCGACGCCGATCGACTCCTGGGCGCCCGCGTCCGTGCCGTTCATCAGCAAAGCCGAGCTGGAGCGGCAGGAGAACGCCAGCATGAACGTGCTCAAGGCGCCGCTGCAGTACGACCTCGGTGGGCCGCTGGAGCCGCTCGTGTCCGACTCGACGATCTGCGCGCAGCTCAGCTCGGCGCTCAGCCTGCGCGGCGAGGGGAGGCTGGCACCGGAGCGCGAGCTGAGGCGCTGCATGGACGACTACTCGTCCAGCGACCAGAGCATCGTCACGGCCACGGACAGCTGCGACTGGTGGCGCTGGGCGCAGAGCCGCCGCCTGGACCGGCAGCCGTCGCAGGCCACGTCGTCGGGCGAGGAGGCGGCGCGTCGCGTCACCGACGCCGACGCCGAGCCGCTGCAGGGCGACGACGAGCTCGAGCGCGCCTACCGCGAGTACATCCGCTGGGTGGACCTGGTGGAGTCGGACAATGAGGAGGAGGAGGAGGCAGTCGAAGAGCAGGAGCCGTCCTGCTCCTATCAGGCCGGCGCACGCGTGGACTATGACGGCGAAAGCGTCTGGGAGAAGCCAGCACACGGCGAGCCAGAGACGGAGCCCGATCCGGAGACGGAGTCGGAACCGAAACCGCCACCGGCTGAGCCGTCGCCGCCGCCAACACCGTCGACAGTCATGTCCGAGTGCGGCAGTTGCTGCCGAGCGGCCGACGCTGAGGCGGCCGCGCCACCGGCTGAGCCGGCTGGGTCGGCCGAGCCGCCCGCTCGCTGCCAGCTGCCCGCCATCAAGCAGCTGAACGCGCTGCGGATGTCGCGCTGCTCCGGTCTGCTTGTGCCGCCGTCCTCGTCCTCTCGCTCCTCCGGCGGCGGGGACCAGAGTCTGCCGGCTATTAGCCGTCAGGCGGCGCCGGCCAAGCGCCGTTCGGCCGGCGTGGGGCGCGTGCCCGACGTCGGCCACTACGAGCAGGTGGAGGTAGAATGCTCTGTAGCGGAGCCCGTGAGGCCCGTCGGGAAGAAGACGCTCGCTAGGGGGCGCGTCGGCAGACCGCCCCGCCGTCGGTCGCGGCCGCCGGCGCCAAACAAGCAGTAAGTGCTATGCTGCAGCAGTTGGGAAAGCGGGGTGAAAGAGGAAGAGAAAGAGGAAAGGAGAACGATGAACAGTGTGTTGGACGGGAAAAGCACCAAAGGACGAGGGAAAAGAAGAAACGAGGGAGAGAGGAGCGACAAAAGGGACGAAAGAGAGAGAGAGAGAAAGAGAGAGGCGCATGGCGGAGAGTGCGGGAGAGAGCGAGAGGGAGAGAGTGGAGGAGATGCCTTCGGCCGCACGCTGCGAGTCGGTCGGTTACCGGCAATGTTGCGGTGACGTGGGTGGCAGCAGCGGCCGCGGGGCGCCGCGCTGATGAGTCACGGGCGAGGGCGTGGGACGGCTCCGCAGCCGAGAGGAGCCCGTAGGTATGTGGACCGCCGGCCGCGAGAGGCGTGCCTTAGAACGAACCTACACGGGCTCACAACTTGTCTGGCACGGACGCTGTCCGGCCAGGGCGAGGCAGGGCGAAGATCCGCTGGCGGGCCGGGGAAGACGCTGCGCAATGCTCGGTTTGGGGCTGAAGTGCCACTTGGTGGCGCCCATGACTGGTTGCCAGCTTCTTCAGCTGTAAACTGGCATCCTACTAGACATTAGGCTATCGCCTTTGCCTGCATGACGTGAGAGGAAGTACCACTAGAGCTGGTGAGACGCTCATAAATGTACTGATGTGTTCCGTCGTGACTTATTCTTTGTCGGTCTCTGGTTCAGCATCAGACGCTCCCAAGAAGACCGGATATGGGTTCAGGGTAAGGTGTTAAGCTGCTGTTGGCGACTGGCAAGTCTTCTGTATGTCTGTGTGTCATTTCCGGGCCCAGGCAGGAGTCTGTGGGAGTGCCCATTGCCACCTGGCACCTGAGTTTTGGAGGAGAGCTGAAATTTCAATGTCGGTGTCTATGAATAAAACAGTTCTGTTTGTTATGTGCAGATAGTAGTCAGTGAGCTCACTGGCGTCTGTTGAGCTGATGGACCATGTGTATATATAAATGTTAACAATGACATTTGAGAATCAAATTGTTTACAAGAGGTCTGTGCGAGAGTCCGATGGTTTTTATCCTGTATGGCTGAACGACTATCGTACCAAATGATCACAGACGTGACATCTTCAACGGACGTGTCAATCGGACAGATGCGGAAATGTTTTAAAACAGGAGTTAAACCTGCGAAAGATTTCGAGAGGCTTCTATGCGCAGCCTGGCCTGTATAGACCGTGGCTCTGGCGAGCTGCCCAAATTTTAAGAGCTAACAAACACTGCCTTCATCCCAACAATATGTGCCAGAGCACCGTCCAGCATAGGTATCGATTTAAAAGATGACAATGCTATTTTTCGACAGCCTACTATGCCAAATATATGTTCGTTGATATGTAAAATCGCGGTGTTGTATGCGCAACAGTCTCACCTAGTTTCAATGCCGCTTACGGTAGACTGAATACCGATTTAAGTATCTGTGTTATTCTCCTCAGCAAATCGATCCATCACGCCAAGCAAATGTGGCGAGGGTGCATTTACATATCTGCATACGGTACGGACGCCGCCACTGGGGCTGAGCCGTCAGCATCTCCGACAGGTCGGCCGCGGGATAGCCGCGGGTGACGGGAAGGGAAAGTGTTCGGTCAACCTGGAGGACAAAAGGGAAGGGCATGGTACTTCAGAGGACAATGAAGGCAGTGCGAATCGATAGGTAGCCTTCTTCAGCGTTAAACAGCATTCGTTGGGGATGAAGAAAAAGGATGGCTTCGGTCGTTGTCTCCAAGGCTCTGTGCACCTGCAGCTCTTCCCGCTCCACGACCTCATGCCAAAATCACGGGCATCCTCAAGCTGAAATGGTCCTCGGAGGACCGCTCAAAACAGCAATGCAATCACAACAAAGGCGGCTTTAAGGCACCTTCACGATCTGTTGTTGCAGACTTAA